TTCCCCCTCTCCCAGACTCCTGCTCTCTCCCCCTCCGACTGTTCCTCCTCTCCCAGACTCCTGCTCTCTCCCCCTCCGACTGTTCCCCCTCTCCCCCTCCGACTGTTCCCCCTCTCCCCCTCCGACTGTTCCTCCTCTCCCCCTCCGACTGTTCCTCCTCTCTGACTGCCAATCTCAGACCCGCTGCTCCTCCTGTCTCTCTCCCCCTCTGTCCCCCTCCCTCTCTCTGCTCGTGTCATGGCGCTGGATGTAAATGATGATCCTGCTGGCCTGCAGCTCCAGTATTGGCGTTTCCAGCTGGGTTCGTTAGTTTTGCATGGAAGGCGTCTGCAAGTGGAGCTGCTTTCCATACACAGCTGCAGGAGAGCGTGCAGGGACCGGACCTGCGCCGTTAACCCTCCACTGTCCACGGCCTTTCTGCTCTGGAACAGGCTGGCCCAGCTCGGGCCCGGACCTGCGCCGTTAACCCCGAGTGTGTGTGTGCAGGTATTTCTGGAAGCCGGATTACCAGTGTAAGAGTGTGGTGTGTGTGCGTTTCAGCGATTACTGCGTGACTGCCCTGTGGGGGTTGAGTACTGAGCTTTCTCTGTGTGTGATCTTACTTCATGTGACTGTGTGTGAGACTGCTGGGTGTGTTTGAGCGATGTTGTGTGTGCTTGAGAGATTGTTGTATTTGTGAGACTGTTGTGTGTGTGTGACATTGCTGTGTGTGAGAGATTGTTGTGTGTTTGAGAGACCGCGGTGTGTGTGTGACATTGCTGTGTGTGAGAGATTGTTGTGCGAGTGTGTGGTCTTATCTCTAACACCTGCTTAATCCCGACGATCACATTTCCATATGCTCTCTAATCCTCTCTCGTCTCCCCCTCCCTCCCTCTCCCCCTTTCCGCTTGGAAGGAGAGACCCGAATAATCCTCCTGCCTGACAGACTCATCGCTGAGCCCTTCAATCACACACACACACTCTCTGCCTCATCCAAACCCTCAGCCCTTATCTGCTTACAGACTCAGTTCGTAAAACAGGGCGGAATCACCATCACAGTTCACAGGCGACTTTTCAAGCCTCTCAGAGGAGGGGCGAGGGGGTGCAGTCTGCGCCCCCGGCTCAGAACCCACGCTGGGACGTCTGGCGGCCGTGCGAACATCGCTCAGTAATGTCTGACAGACCCGGCTAATGCACCGCCTCTCCGATTCCCCCGCCAGCCGGCCTGCCTGGTGTTTCTGTACAGCACACGTGTTGACGTGTTGACCCCGAAACCAGAGCGACAGCGACCTGCACAGAGCGATCGAGCACAGTGGCGCCCCTCGGCGCTGGCTGTGCGCCCCAGAGTGTACCTCTGTGCACCCTGGGTCCCCAGGAAGACCGACCCGTTCACGAGGAGAAACTCTGAAACCTCGCGGCACGACTTCTCTGGGCAGCTGGTACTGTTTGTGTCTGGGCCAGGGCTCTTGGCTCCTTCTCGCCCAGTGCCCGTCTCGGGGCTAATTAACCCCACATACCCTCTCAGTCAGCGCACTGTTAATCTGCTGTAGCGGCCTCTCAATTACTGCTCCAGTAATCTCTTTCTCCCTCCCACCTCGCAGCCACACGGATGTACCGGAGTGGGCAGTGAGTGGCCCCTCTCCCTCTCTGGCTCTGCGCAGTGCAAGCTGTGTATAAGGTCATCTGTGTGTCTTAACCCCCCTCTCTCTCTCTTCCTCTGCAGAGGGTGTGAGGAAAGGGGGCGTGTCACAGCAGCCCTCGCATCAGAGCCCTCTGATTGGCCCAGGAGAACACAGCTGCCAGGAAGTGGGAGTGTCCTTCCCTAGGCCCTCCCGTCACCCTATAAGGCAATCGGGGGCGGGGTGAGGCGCGGGGGCGGGGCCGCCTCTGCGTCGCCATGGCTCCCGAGGGCATGGCGGAGCTGCGCGACTGGCTCTTCCTGCTCCTGCTCTGCCTCACGCTGCTGGCCGAGGCCCTGGAGTTCGCCGCGGCC